AGTCTCGCTCTGTTACCTAGACTGGAGTGCGATGGCACAATCTCAGTTCACTGCAACCTCTGCCTCCTAAGTTCAAGTGCTTTTCCTGCCTCAGCCTCCCGAGTAGCTGGGATTACAGGCATACACCACCATGCCCAGCTAATTTTTGTATTTTTAGTGCAGCCAGGGTTTTACCACGTGGGCCAGGATGGTCTCAAACCCCTAACTTCAAGTGATCCACCTGCTTTGGGTTCACAAAGTGTTGGGATTACAGGCATGAGCCACCATGCCCAGCCTCAAAAGGGTTTTAGTGGAGTTATAAAATTTCAATTAGAGACGCGAAAGAAAAGCAAGATTAAAATAAGCAGTTTCACATCTGTAATCTCAGTGCTCTGGGAGGCTGAGGTGGGAGGACTGCTTGAGCCCAGGAGTTCCAGACAAGACTGGGCAACATAGTGAGAGCTTGTCTCAATTTTTTATTTTTATTTTTTTAGAAAAAGCAGCATAGGAATTATAGAATATTTGAGCTGGAAAATACATAGATATCATTTAATTATAACCTGAAATTTTATAGGTAAGGCCCACAGAGGGGAGATGTCTTGCCAAAGGTAACCAAATTAATAAATGGTACATTTTGGACTTAGATCATAAAAATACAGAACCGGAAAGAATTTAGGAATCATTACAGAAACAAAAATAGATTTTTCTAATAATAGTCTGATTGTAAACTCAGCAAGGACAGACCTTTTTGTATCTCCAATGTCTAGTACTTGGCTTATAACAGTTACTTGATTAATTCCTTAAGTTAAAGGTCAAGGAATAAGATTTCTAATTGTACTTTTTACTAAATCTTGCTCTGAATTTCATTTCTCTCTTAGTAATAATTAATTAATAACCATTAAGTCCATTGTTTGAATAGTTCTATTTTTTTTTATTTTTATTTATTTTTTTCTTTTGAGACAGAGTCTCGCCTGTCACCTAGGCTAGAGTGCAGTGGTATGATCTCGGCTCACTGCAACCTCCACCTCCCGGCTTTAAGTGATACTCCTGTCTCATCCTCCTGAGTAGCTGGGATTACAGGTGTGTGCACGACGCCCGGTTAATTTTTGTGTTTTTAGTAGAGAAAGGGTTTCACCCTGTTGGACAGGCTGGTCTCAAACTCCTGACCTCATGATCCACCTGCCTTGGCCTCCTAAAGTGCTGGGATTACAGGCATGAGCCACCGCACCCAGCCAAGAGTTCTATTTTTATCATAAGTGATATAATTGAATAACTGACATTATATATGTTTTCTTAGTTATCCACATCTATGGGAAGCTTAGCTATTCAGATCAGAAGGCCACACATATCCCACTGCCACAGGGCACCTATTAGCAGATTAGTTAAATTTTAGGCAAGTGATAGATTAAAATACACAGCTACTAAGAAGTATTTTACAAACCCAAATAAAGACAGCAAATGCAACACTTTGTTACTTTTGGCTTTCTGTTCATTAAAATAAAATCCTTGCTGAAGATCAGTTAATATGCAAAACTACTAAATATATGTATTAACTCTCGGATGTCAAGAGATTTCTGGCAAATAAATATTCAAATTAGTTAAACTTCATGCTTTGATGACTGCTTATATTTATTATGTATCCTTTTAACAGGCTAAATTTCAAAATTTTCAATTCTAAACTTACTCTCCTTTTCAGGCATGAACAATTTTCTGGGATAGAAATTGCTCTTTGCAATTTTTCCAGTTTCCTTTTTTTTTGAGACAGTCTCACTCTTTCGCCCATGCTGGAGTGCAGTGGTGCAGTCTCAGCTCACTGCGACCTCCACCTCTCTGGTTCAAGCAATTCTCCTGCCTTGGTCTCCCCAGTAGCTGGGACTACAGGCACGTGTCACCACATCCGGCTAAATTTTGTATTTTTAGTAGAGATGGGGTTTCACCATGTTGGCCAGGGTGGTCTCAAACTCCTGATCTCAGATGATCCACCCACTTTAGCCTCCCAAAGTAGTGGGATTACAGGCATGAGCCACTGTGCCTGGTTTTCCAGTTTCTAGTTTGCATTTTTCTAGTTTGATATAATTCTTATGTTTGCAATAGATCAAAAAGTAATAGAAATGTGCTTCAGAATGACAAAGATTTTATACATTTTTATAAAAAAAAAAGACTAGATAAAATTAACATGAAATTGAATTCTGAAGGTGAACTGTATTCTTTGTAAGCCATTACAACATCTATTAAGTATCTACAGATTACTCACCAGGAAAATGCAAATCAAACTCACAATCAGATACTACTCACACCCACTAGATGGCTATAATTAAAAAGAGGGACAATAGCAAATATTGATGAAGATGTGAAGAAAGCAGAACCTTGATAAGCCACTGGTGGGAATGTAAAATGATGCAGCCATTTCGGAAACAGTTTAGCAGTTCCTGAAAATGTTAAACATAGCCAGGCATAGTGGTTCATGCCTGTAATCCCAGCATTTTGGGAGGCCAAGGCAGGCGAATCACTTGAGTTTAGGAGGTCAAGACCAGCCTGGGCAATATGGCAAAACCCCATCTCCACAAACAATACGAAAATTAGCTGGGCATGGTAGAGCATGCCTATAGTCCCAGCTACTCAGGAAGCTTAAGTGGGAGGATTGCTTATGCCTGGGAGGCTGAGGCTGCAGTAAGCCATGATGGTGCCACTGCACTCCTGCCTCGATGACAGAGTGAGACTTTGTCTCAAAAAAAAAATATTAAACATAAAGTTATCATATGACTCAGCAAATCTACTCCTAGGAATATACCCAAGAAAAATGAAACAACATGGTCACACAAAAATTTGTATGTCAATATTCATAGAAGCATTATTCTAAATAGCCAAAAGTGAAATTAGCCCAATGTCCATAAGTTGATGAATGGATAAACAAAACGTGGTAGATCCACAGAGTGGAATCATTCTGCCATAAAAAGGAATGAAGTACTAATAGATGCTACATCATGGATGAACTTTGAAAAAAACTATGCTAGGTGAAAGAAGTAGACATAAAGGATACGTATTGTATGATCACATTTAAATAAACTGTCCAGGATAGGAAAATCGATAGACAAAAAGTAGATCAGTGATTACCAAGAGGTATGAGAGGGAAGAATGGAGAGTGACTGCTAACAGGTATGGAGTTTCTCGTTGAGTGATATAATGTTTTGGTATTAGTGATGATGGTTGCACAACTCTGTGAATATACCAAAATTTATTATATTGTGTACTTTTAAAAAATAATTTTTATAGTATGTGACTCAGATCTCAAAAAAGATATTATTAATAAAATTTATAGAGTTATGATACTGTTTAAAAAATTTAAAAATAGAGCATTTGTGGTACTAATCATATTTATAATTCTTGCAAAGTAAGTTCTTGTCTGATTCCAAATACCTATAGTCAAAAGGTTGTTTATGATGGGTCATTTAAAAAAAAAAATATATATATATATATATATGGCCAGGCGCAGTGGCTCACGCCTATAATCCCAGCACTTTGGGATGTCAAGGTAGTGGATCACAAGGTCAGGAGTTCGAGACCAGCCTGGACAACATGGTGAAATCTCGTCTCTATTAAAAATACAAAAAATTAGCAGAGTGTGGTGGCAGGCGACTGTAATCCAGCAACTTGGGAGGCTGAGGCAGAAGAATCTATTGAAACCAGAAGGTGGAGGTGGCAGTGGGCCAAGATCTCACCACTGCACTCCAGCCTGGGCAAAAGAGAGAAACTCTGCCCAGTTTCATATATAGAGAATTATAAATATGATATTATAAATATATATGAAACTGTATATATATATGTGTGTGTGTGTGTGTGTGTGTGAATGCCACTTGTGTCATTATCTATGAACTAAGATGATTTCCTGGTCTCCTAGGCTAGTGCGAATCTGGGAAGAACGAGTAAGCTTAACTAAGCTAAGAGAAAAGGTCACCAGGGAAGATGGAAGAGTCATTTTGAAGATAGAAAAAGAGGAATGGAAGGTAGGTTTTTTTATAGAATATTCGATTTTCCACATTTTGCATTTTGTGGGTCAGTTGAGAGAATGATTCTTCTGAGGCTGGGTACTTAAGACTAGAATATTTAGAAATTAATTTTAATAATACGCCAAATGAATTTGAGCAACATGAGCAACTGAAAAGAAACACAACTTCACAATTATTTTGCAGAAGTTCAGTTTGCTTCAACCCTGCCTAAACTTAAATCATTTGTGATATTTCTCCTATTAATCCTTCTTATAAGCAACTCCTCATTTTCCATAAAAAAAGATGAACATCTGCCTAATAAAAATGTTGTTTTTCAGAAAAAATACTCAGTTAAAACTTCAAGGAATGAAAATATTAATATTTTCATTGGGTCTGCCACCTGACTCATACTGTTTCTCCCCCTTACACACAAACTCACAGTTGGTTAATTACATTAGGCATACTCTAATTTTTACAAGAGCCTCTAACCCTTGGGTCAGTGTTTGTTTTCATGTTTTATGTCAGTGTTTGTCAGGGTTAGCTCCTCCTCTGTTTTCTATTCTGGCTATTTTAGGCTGAAATGGGAAAGACACAGAGTTCAGAATAGTTGAAACTCTTAAAATTCTCAAATTAAAAAAAATCGTTTAAAATATTCTTATATTTCAAAACAGAAGTGGAAAAGCAGTTTGAATTACTGATTGAAATGACTTTTGGATAGTCTCATTTTCAATAATACATATGTACTTTAGGAAAGCCTAATACTGTATAACAGAATCATCAGGACATACTCCTATGTGTGTACCTTATTGATCAAAATATTTTTGTTTATTCTATTATGATTGGGGTTTGAAGACTTAGCAAAAAAAAAAAAAAAAAAAAAAAAAGTAAAGATCTTACAAATTGGAAGTCATACAAAGCACTTGGAAAGGTAACCCAATAAGGAAAACAAATTCCAAATATCTCAAAGTGCTTTTATAAGTCAAGTATCACATTTCAGGGTGGCATGATACTAAAATAATTTAAGTAATATATAACGACCATCATTTCTTTTACTGTAGACCCTTCCTTCTTCTCTGCTGAAACTGAATCAACTACAGGAATGGCAAGTTCATAGAACTGGTTTGCTGAAAATTCCTGAATTCATTGGAAGATTCCAGAACCTCATTGTCTTAGACTTATCTCGAAACACAATTTCAGAGATACCTCCAGGGATTGGTAAGAAAGATTGCTTTTATTCCTGTGCTATTTTATCCACCTACAGATGTGCTTTTTATTAAGATTTTTGTTTTTGTTTTTGGATACATGGAATAAAGACCTCTTACTCCCATGATTCAGTTGTCTCCCACTGGGTCCCTCACACAACATGTGGGAATTATGGGAGCTACAATTCAAGATGAGATTTGGGTGGGGACACAGCCAAAGAAAAAGTTAACAATGTGTTGTTGTTAACAGCCCTGAACCTTGAGAAATTTTAAACATTTTATCTAAATTCAAGCTTCTAGAGGATTCAAGTTTCTGGATTTACTCAGGTGATTCAAGATGAGATTTCAATGAAAGAAAAGCTGCTTTGGAAATATCCTGTAAATTCTCGAAACAATATTGTTGGCTCAACTATTCCTCTTAGGAAAGAACAGAAATATTCCTCAAATGGGGGGACAAAATCCTAAGAGAAAATTGCTCAGGATTTTGTGTAGGTTAAACGAAAATAGTTTTGGATTTTTTTTTTTCCTATTGCACGGATAAACTTGTTCCTTGTTTGAAGAAAGGACAGGACACAGACTGGGAAAGGGAAGAAACTAAGAACTCTGAATTTGCCAATACAAAACTGGCAAGTAAGTTATGCTGTAATACCTTAGTAACTATAAACATTATTTTATATCCAACTCCTCTCTATTGTATATTATTTTTTATAGGACTGCTTACCAGACTTCAGGAACTGATTCTTAGCTACAACAAAATCAAGACTGTCCCCAAGGAACTAAGTAATTGTGCCAGCTTGGAGAAACTAGAACTGGCCGTTAACAGAGATATATGTGATCTTCCACAAGAGGTTAGAAAGATACAAATGCCTATGACTGTATTTTCCATCTGCAGTAGTTGACCTCTCAATGTGTGGTTGTTAACAATAACAAAACTAATGAGAAAATTCTATGTATTTCAGAAAAAATATTTAGGGAAAACCATTTCTGTAAGTATAATGCAGGTTTTTAATTGGAGACAGATTTAGTGTAAAAGATACTTTTATTATTATCACAGTGCTGACATCATTCGTTAAACTGTGATCTCCTTGAAGGCCAGGGTGAGAGCTGTATTATAGTCTCAGAATTTAGGGCAGGGCCTAGGTTGTGATTACTTAATGATTTTTGAATTAATAAATAGTTATCATAAAGCACAGACAATGTGGTGATAGCAATGGGACTGGAATGCCTTCAAACTTTGATTTGGTATGATGTCTTGTAATTGGTCGAACCAAATTGATCATATAAAAATAAAGACATTTGTATTACTTTTTGAAAATATTTAACGCTCTTAGAATCAGTGAAGAAGTTTCCATGGTGCTTTGGCTTTGACAACAATGACTTCCCAAGATAAAAGTTAAGAAAAATAATAAAATAAAACAGAAGGACTATTCCTTTCTCCCACTTTATCTTGAATAGTATGTCAGACTTTTTTTTCCAAATCAGCAAACTTGTTACCAACAATTGCTGCTCTTGAAAATACAATATAGTATATATTATATCTTCCAATAGTTCAATTTAATGAAATGTATACCCTTGTATATTATCTGTTCTCACACTGCTGATAAAGACATACTCGGACCTCGCAATCAAGGCAAAAGGCAAAACGCACGTCTTACATGGTGGAAAAAGAGAATGAGAACCAAGTGAAAAGGGAAACCCCTTATAAAACCATCAGATCTCAGGAGACTTATTCACTACCATGAGAACAGTATGGGGGGAACCACCCCATGATTCAATTATCTCTTATCAGGTCCTTCCTACAACACATGGGAATTATGGGAGCTACAATTCAAGATGAGATTTGGGCTGGGGCACAGCCAAACCACATCACCTTGCATACAATAAAAATGATAATCATATGGATAATGTTTTACACATACAATAGGACCAATAAATATTTTCTTTCTAATTCATGTGTTTTTGTTTCTAGGGTTGGCTCCATCATTATAAAAGCTATCTGATTTTGTACAGGTCTATTAACCAGTCTTTTTTTGAGACAGGGTCTCACTCTTTTGCCCGGGTTGGAGTACATTCTGGCTCACTGCAGCCTCAACCTCCTGGGCCCAAGCAATTCTCCCACTTCAGCCTCCCGAGTAGCTGGGACCACAGGCTTGTGCCACCATGCCTGGCTAATTTTTAAATTATTTTGTAGAGATGGGGTCTCACTATGTTGCCGAGGCTGGTCTTAAACTCCTGGACTGAAGTGATCCTCCTGGCTTGTCCTACCAAAATGCTAGCATTATAAGCATGAGCTACCCCTTCCTCCACCACTATTATTTGGAAGTTAAATTTTGAGTTTTCCCTTACAATTCTCAGCTACTAGATCAAAAAAAAAGAGATAATGGGTGCTTACTCTCAGGAAAAAAAAAGTTTTTTTCCCAGGCACATTCTATAAACCCTGGAACCTGGTTATTATGGAAGATAAATTTTCTTCAAATAGATGAACTTTCTATGAGTTTTCCACTTCTCTAGGGGTTATTTAGCTTTATTTTTATTTTTAATTTGTTTTGGACTACTAAAACTAAATGAAGCCCAAGTAAAATGTGAACATTCCTGGATGTGAAATATCTCCTGTACCAATGTAAGTCTTTTAGTAGTTTACATTTTGGACATTTATTTTGAAAAACCTTGCTTTCTTCTTCAGCTCAGCAATCTGCTAAAACTTACTCACCTTGATCTGAGTATGAACCATTTTACTACAATTCCTCTTGCTGTGTTGAACATGCCTGCCCTTGAGTGGCTGGACATGGGAAGCAACAAACTTGAACAACTTCCTGATACTATAGAAAGGTAAAATAAATAACTTTTTATGCTAATGATAAATGTCTTGAAACCTCTTATGAAAAAAGCAAGACAAAGGGGATCTCAAGCATAATCTATCACAATAGGTCCAATTAGTTTGAAATACACTGTTTTAACAGACTGTGTTCATTTGTTCCAAGTAAGTAAAAAGGGTTGGGAAGAGGAAAAAACTGGCTTTTTTCAAGTGATCCACCTGCCTTAGCCTCCCAAAGTGCTGGGATTACAGGCATGAGCCATCATACCTGGCCAAAACTGGCTATCTGACTTTGAGAAATTAACAAGATTTTGCCACAATAACCATGTTGCTTATTACGTGCCAAGCACTTCTATGCACTTTACAAGTGGATGAAGAAACTAATGACAGAGATGTTAGCTAACTTGCTCAAGTTAGTAAGTGGGCAAGCTAGGATTCGAACCAAGGCAGCCAGACACCAGAGTCCATAATGTTAAGTATTATGCATTCTGTTTTGCTATAAATGGGCATATTAATCATTTGATTGTTCTTTTAAGATTCTAACTCAGATTAGGTGACAACTACAGCAGTTCTTCTTCAAGAAATCCTAGGAGATAGTGAAACAATTCTGGAATATGTTGATTTCATTTCTACTGCCATATGAAATGAGAGTTGTACTGTAGAGATGAACTTCCTGATGTAGTTTCTCTAATAACAAGGTAATGCGATGTCAGTTAACTCAATAAATATACTGGCTAAAGATGTTGTAAAAGACAATATTTGATTTCTAACATAAGAACCAAAGGTTGGGTACAGTAACTCATGCCTGTAATCCCGGCACTTTAGGAGCCTGAGGCAGGAGAATACCCTGAGCTCAGGTGTTCGAGACCAGCCTGGGCAACATGATGAGACCCCTGCCTCTTAAAACTATTTAAAAAAAAACCCCAAAACCAATATTTTCATATTATATGTAATTAATTGCAGAAACCTTACTTTTTCAGAATGCAAAATCTACATACGTTATGGCTGCAACGAAATGATATAACATGCTTGCCTGAAACAATCAGCAATATGAAAAATCTGGGTACTCTTGTTCTCAGCAACAATAAACTGCAAGATATTCCAGTATGCATGGAAGAAATGGCAACTCTGAGGTAAAAACTTGTAGGCACAAAACTGACATGTTTCTTTCTGGCTGCAGAAAAAAGTCATGTAGAGATCATTATTAATAAATTTCAGTAGTTATTTATATGAATGGATATTTAAAAAATATTTTCCAATGTTGAAATTCTATAATTTGTGAATAGGAGTCATATAACGCTGGTCTAAACTATTCAAGAAAGAATCCTTAAGACTAAAGCAGTTTGGGATTTATCAGCTTTAAGAAATGTCTCCTGTTGGCGACATTTTCATGAAAATTATACAGCTAAAAAAAACTTCATTCACAACAAAAAAATCAAAAGAGTAAAAGTGATTATTTTCTTCCTAAATAAGTACAAATGGACACCATTATGTTACTGATAGAAAGCAAATATATTAGTTAGGAGTGGTGGTGCATACCAGTAACAGCTACTAGGGAGGCTGAGCCTGGAGGATTGCTTGAGCCCAGGAATTCAAGGTTGAAGTGAACCAAGATTGCACCGCTGCACTCCAGCCTGGGAAACAGAGAACTATCTCTTTAAAACACACACACACACACACACACACACACACACACACACAAACACACACACACACACACACACACAGAGAACTAGATATAACTTTTTACTAAGTGCTATCAAACCCTCTCAAGTATTTTTTCTTTTAAAAATTATTTTAGATTGCATGTATAGGTTTGTTACATGGACATATGCTGTGTAATGGTGAGGTTTGCACTTGTAGTGTATCCATCACCTAAATAGTGAACACCATACCCAGTAGGTAATTTTTCAACCCTCATCTCCCTCTCTCTCCCCGCTTTTGGAGTTGCCAGTGTCCATTACATCCATCTTTATGTCCATGTGTACCCACCGTTTATCTCCCACTTATAAGTGAGAATATGTGGTATTCGATTTTCTGAGTTATTTCACTTAGGATAATGGCCTCCAACTCCATCTATGTTGCTACAAAAGATAAGATTTCATTCCTTTTTATGGCTGCATACTATTCTATGGTGTATGTATACTACATTTTCTTTAATCATCCGATGAGGGACACTTGGGTTGATTCCATGACTGCTGTTGTGAATAGACCTGTGACAAACATATGAGTACAGGTGTCTTTTTAATATAAAGATTTCTTTTCCTTTGGGTACATACCTGGCAGTAGGTTTGCTAGGTCAAATGATACTTCTATTTTTAGTTCTTTGAGAAATTGCCATACTGTTTTCCATTGAAATTGCACTGATTTACATTCCCACCAACAGTGTGTGTTCCCTTTTCTCTGTATCCACACCAACATCTGCTGTTTTTTTAATTTCTTAAAGTAACCATTCTGAAAGGTGTGAGATGGTATCTCACTGTGGGGTTAATCTGCATTTCTCTGATGATTAGCAATGTTGAACATTTTTTCATGTTTATTGGCTCCTTGTACGTCTTCTTTTGAGAAACATCTGTTCATGTCCTTTGCCCGCTTGTGGGGTTGGTTTCTTTCTTGTTGAGTTCTTTGTAGATTTTGGATATTAGTCCTGTGTTAGATGCCAGATTTACAAATATTTTCTCCCATTCTGTAGGTTGTCTATTAACTCTGTTGATTAATTTTTGTGCTGTGCATAAGTTTTTCTAATTAAATCTCATTTGTCTATTTTTGATTTTGTTGCATTTGCCTTTGAGGTCTTCATCATAAATTCTTTGCCTAGGCCAATGTCCAGAAGTTTTTCCTGGGGTTTCTTCTAGGATTTTTACTGTTTCAGATGCGACATTTAAAGTTTAATCCATCTTGAGAGCTCCCTCAAGTATTTTTCTTCCAAAGCTTAATCTTCTGACATTGAAAAGAAGAGAATACCCACTAAAACCCCAAGCTTCCATAGCAAAATAATTCATTTATTCAACAATTACCTGCCTTGAACTAGGTGGTGAAGACACAATGATAAATAAGATGGAGGTATATAAATATGCAGAAACTAAATTCATAGCACTAATTTTATATTTAAGATGTTAAAATTACTCTTAGAAGTTAAGCTGTACTGCATTACATATACACTGTAGGCCGGGTGCAGCGGCACATGCCTGTAATCTCAGCACTTTAGGAGGTGGAGGCAGGTAATCATTTGAGGCCAGGAGTCCGAGACCAGCCTGGCCAATATGGCGAAACTCCATCTCTACTAAAAATACAAAAATTTTCCGGACGCCATGGTGTGTGTCTCTAGTCCCAGCTACTCGGGAGACTGAGGCACAAGAATCACTGGAACCCGGGAGGTGGAGGGTGCCATGAATCCAGATCATGCCACTACACTCCAGCCAGTGCGACTAGAGTAATAGTTACTTTTGTAAGCTTTGAAAATAAGTTGTCTAAAGCTGGTATTTTTTTTCTGTTAGGAAAAAAACATAAAGATTCCTGAGATATATCACATCTCACCAAGGTGTTCAGTTATTGAAACCAGTTAAAAAAGAGTAATTTAGTGTATTATCATTTGACCTTTCTTCAGGGAAACAGGTTTATACTTCCATGACACCTATAAAAATACTGTTTTTTGATGAACTGCTAGGTTTGTCAACTTCAGAGACAACCCACTGAAATTGGAAGTATCACTTCCACCCAATGAAGGCACAGATGAAGAAGAGGAACGGGAATTATTTGGTCTTCAGTTTATGCACACATACATACAGGAGTCACGGAGAAGAGCAGGTATAAGATTTGTATATAACACAGATCAAATGTTCTTTTTGGTAGAGTAATGTGAATATCACTAATTTTTGCCTTTTGATTAATTTCTTATTTCTCATTCCATCTTAAGTTTTCTGTCAAATTCTGTTCTCTTAGTCAATATGGGAAGAAAAAAAGTGAAAGGAAGAGAGAGGTTGTAAAGATACTCAAAGTCTTTCAAGTGGGGGAAGGAAATAAATCCTTTAGCTAAGCATCTGAAGTAAAACCAAGTGAGTAAAGACGTGATTCGAAAAACTTTGCTACCTCATTCTACCAGCTTGTCTGGTAGAATGACTATGAACTGACCTTCCCTGTCATTCCATAAGTAGCAAAAAAAAAAAAAAAAAAAAATTTACACAGTTTTTGTTGTAGTTGTTTTGTTTTTTAAGAGAGATGAGGTCTTACCATGTAGCCCAGGCTGGAGTGCAGTGGCTATTAAAAGACACAATCGGCCGTGCGCGGTGGCTCATGCCTGTAATCCTAGCGCTTTGGGAGGCCGAGGTGGGTGGATCACCTGAGGTCAGGAGTTCAAGACCAGCCTCACCAACATGCTGAAACCCCATCTTTAAAATAAAAAAAATTAAAAACATTAAAAAAAAAAAAGACACAATCATAGCTCACTGTAGCCTTGAACTCCTGGGCTCAAGAGGTCATCCTATGTCAGCCTGCAGAGTAACTGGGGCTATCAGTGTATGCCACTATGTCTGGCTGAGAACAGATTTCAATCAACAGTTAAAGTGTGAGGTTTTGATAGAGAGATTTCAATTGCTTAGTCTCTGATAATTTTGAATTACACCACTTTTATTTTTCAATTAAGGAGAGCTTTAAGCTAAACCAAGATCGGGGAAGAGGACAAAGTGCACAATTATTTGTTAATATAAAAAATGAAACAACAGTCATAGAAATTATGGTCTTATAATTTAAAAATGTTAAGAGCTTTTGACTTAAAAGGTAGATTTTAGTTCGACTTAATGCAACAACTAGTTTGAAAAATGAATATTACTGAGAAGACAATGACAGAGTTTTTCAGCTAGAGGAAATAATTTTTACTAACATTCAGTGGCGAATGTTTAGGAAATGGTGATTAGATCTCTTGTAGCAAGGTCATAGAAGCAATAACATGGAGACAGACTGGGGGAAGACAGGCAAAAAGTCATAATTGTGACCTAGTTTTGGAAAGCAGAGAATATAGGAAAGATGATTAGGAGACAGAATTGGTAATTGAATTAAGATGAGAAAAGGGAGGAGTTTCTAATGAATGCTTTTAGTTCAGAGAGCATCTGGATAAATGGTGATGCTAAGATGGATTAAGTACAGAAGATAGGTTGGCGAGTAGCATCAAGTGGTGGCAGAAGATGACTTCTAATTTTAGCAGTAATTTTTTTTTCCTTTTTTTCTGGAAAAGGAATTTCTCTCTCACTGCCCAGGCTGGAGTGCAATGGTGCGATCTTGGCTCACTTAGCAACCCCTGCCTCCTGGGTTCAAGCGATTTTCCTGCCTCAGCCTCCTGAGTAGCTAGGATTACAGGCATGCACCACCACGCCCAGCTAATTTTGTATTTTTAATAGAGATGGGGTTTCACCATATTGGTCAGGCTGGTCTTGGAACTCCTGACCTCAGGTAATCCACCTGCCTCAGCCTCCCAACGTGCTGGGATTACAGGCATGAGCCACCGTGCCTGGCCCTTAGCAGTAAATTTGATGCACTTGCGGAACATGCAAGATGTGGTAATTGTGTAGGTAATCTAAAGTTCAAGAAGGAGTTTGTTGAATCTGAATATTCTGCAGGTCAAGAAACAGCTGTTTGCATATCCCACACAGTCACTTTCTCATGATATGTGAAGACAAACGAAGTTAGGAAAACAATAATCCTGACCTAAAGCTGGCATGTTGAACGACAAACTTATCTTCCCTTAAGGTACTTGATACCATTGTCAGAAACATACCATTAAGCTAAATGGGCCACAGAACTGTTTCTGTATGATAATTGTCAGGTGTGTATATATATTTTATGAAACATAAATGAGATTATGCCTGTTGCAGAATATCTTTTATTTCTGGGCATAATTTGTTGAATGATGCAAAACAAATTTTATGACACAAATTAGTATTGCTTGGCACAAAAAAAGGTTATTTGATGATATAATATCTTCATTTAGGTTCCCTTGATTGGGGACATGAGTAACTAACTTAAGAAACAATCAAACTACCTTACTTTAATAGTATTTGACATAAACCTTATAACAAGGGAAAAGAAGGTAACAAAGAGATAATAAAATCAAAGCCTGCCTATTATCTTATTAAAAACAGATTCACAAATTACTACCACTACTATTACTAGTTAGTATTTATTGAGTTACTCTGTGCTTAGAACTGTTCTATGCATTTTACTTGTGTTATCTCATTTGATGCTCACAACAACCTTGTGAGGTAGGTATTATTGTTATCAACATCATCCCCATTTTAAGAGGAAGAAATTGAGGCACAAAGAGATTAAGTAGCATGTCCAAGGTCACACAACTGAAAGATGGTAGGGTTGGAATTTGAACCTAGGCAGTCTGACAAGACATATGAGACTAGACTACAGTCAAGAATTTTAAATTGGCTAGGCTTCTTATTACAAATCATGTGATCATAGAACTACAGGATAAAAATAGTTATCTCAGAATATCATAATATCTAAAGGTAATTCTGAACCTTTGTCTTGGCAAATGTACAAACAATTAAGACAATTTTTACAAATAAAAGCAGAAGCAAAATAGGGATAAGATGCAGAAGAGAATGGCCGGGCGCGGTGGCTCAAGTCTGTAATCCCAGCACTTTGGGAGGCCGAGGCGGGTGGATCACCAGGTCAAGAGCTCGAGACCATCCTGGTCAGCACGGTGAAACCCCGTCTCTACTAAAAATGCAAAAAATTAGCTGGGCATGGTGGCGCATGCCTGTAATCCCAGCTACTCAGGAGGCTGAGGCAGGAGAATTGCCTGAACCCAGGAGGCGGAGGTTGCGGTGAGCCGAGAT